TGAGAAAAATATCAAAAACAAATAAGAAGTAGATAATTTTAGAGTTACAAGCTATTGTATTTGAAAGCAGAAACTATTGTTTGTGCTGGCTCTGACAGTTTGAGAAAGACAATTGACAAGGTCACCTTTTTTTTTTTTTTAAATGAGGAAGAATTCGATATTAAAAGTTATAGGCTAGTTTAAGTTGAACTGAAATACGATTTAGACCCCATATTCATACTTTCTTCATCTCTATATACCTCAGGCAGAATACAAAGTCTGGTCAAACAGGACCACAAAAGCCTGGTGGAAAAGCATTACGTGCTGTCCTGTAGGAGAGAGACCACTTCCCTTCTGTAAATTATGCCCCCTTTACCAGGTGACTGATTGATTGATTGACTGACTGATTTTTACCTAGTCTTCTCTACTGATATAGCTAGGCATTAGCGGCCTTAATCCCATCTTCTTCTCACAATCATTCAAAGTCACCAGTATAAATGATGATGATCAAACCAGAGGTGAGAACTTACTGCTGTTCTTTGGGCTGAATCAAGTATGCCCATCCATAGATTTGTGATGGTGGTTTTTGTTAGTTTGCTTGCTTTATATCATGCTAATTTTCAGGGTAAGACTATAGTGTACATTAGCCTGCATTTTTTTTTTTTTAATATGACTACTTGCTAACATTTAAAACTTGTGAGGTTTTTTGGTGTTTGTTTTGTTTTGTTTTAACTGGATTTCTTGCCTCTCTTGCAAAATGAAAGCTCTGGCACAACTGTTTAATGTTCTTTATGGTAAAAATAAGTAGACCTGAGAGATGAGGCATTAGCTTTCTCTGGTTTTATCATACTTCCTGCCATTCCCATATGAGTCTGGATATTGAAGCCTAGACTTAGTTTCTACCGACCATCATACTGGAATGACTGGGTTTTATTATACCTGCCACACTTTACTCATCACAATTTTTCTGATTCTATTAAATAAGGATTTGATTTTATAATTGTATATAAAGGAATGAGTTCTGTAGATGGAATAACATATAAATTTATCTTTTTGCTGTCTTAACAAATAGCCTTGAAACTCAGTATCTTAAAACAATAAACATTTGTTGTGTCTCACAGTTTCTGTGGGTCAGGGGTTTGGGAGCAGGTATATTGGTGGTTTTAGTTTGGGCTCTCTCTTAAGGTTGCTATAATGCATTGGCTTGGGCTATAGTCATCTGAAATCTTAACAGAGATGGAGGTTCTACTTTCAAGATGACTGACTCATATGGCTACTGGCCAAAGGTCCCAGTTCCTTGCTGTGTGGACGTGACATGTGAGCTGGCTTTGCCCTGAGTCAGCCGTCCAAGAAAGAGAGACCAGGAGAAAGGCTCATGCCTTTTATGACCTTATCTCCAAAGTCACACACCATCCCATTTGTCTTATTTTATTCACGAGAAACGAGTCACTAAGTCTAAGCCACACTCAAGGGGACAGAAGTTTAGCACTAATTCTTGCAAGAAGTATCAAAGTGTGAAAGTTTGGATTTCAAAATCTTAATCTTGGGGTCTTAGACTTGGCTAAATCATCAATTCATTGCTTTATTAACCTTCTACTTTACCTAATCTTAATATTTCAAAGTTCCTTTCAGTTTCTTTTGTATATATTATTCTAAATAAAACTGGTAACTCTAAATAGTTATAATTTATCATCTTTGAGGTTTGAAAAAAATGGTAAGAACTGTCTAAATAGAATTTTCATTCAATTTTAGAAAAACTACTTCTAAATTTTAGCGAAACACAAACTTTCAGTTAATTATAATTGCCTGGGTTGTATGTCTGAGGAGGTGGTATATACTGGTATGTAACTGGTAACGTCATAGCCCAATTATTTCCTTGCTTTCTAGATGTGTAATTTCAGTATTACTGTAGGCAAATAGCTCCGTAAACATTTGTAGCTATAATCATCTGTAATCCCCTGGATAGGAAGTTGTAAAGTTCTCCTGTTTTACTTTTATATTGCCCTTTTTATATGACTATAATACTTAGCCTCAGCAGGAAACAGGTCACTGTCCTTTATTCCATCCCCAAAGAAAAAGAGGAGAGAGGTTCTCAAAGAAGGGGGATCTGAGCAGCAGAGCAAGTTCAGAGCCAAGGTAGAGAACTTTGTAAAACAAGGTTGTTCCGCAGTATCTCTAAGATACTGTCCTTTAAGCTTCAAACCTTCAAACTCAAAATATATTTTGATATATCCACGGAATGAATTGTTGATAACAGAGACATTAATAGGTTTTATTATATTTATTTTTATCTCTCGGGTTTGATCAAATTATGGTGACAGGGAGGGGTATACATACATGGCCATTCACTTGTTAAAATAATTTCATTGTATGCAAAGTTGGGTTCCCTATGTGGTGCTGATGTCCTATCAGCTTCGCAGTGCTGCCACAATAGAGGAATTAGGATCTCCCCCAAACTCTCACTCTTCGATTTTATCAGGGAAGAAAACTAACTGATTTTATTTTATTTTGCTGCAAGGGACTACTGCTCTATTTCTGAGACTTTGTTTCCCGCACTGAGTTCTGTAAGTTTAGTATTCATTTTCTACTAACAGCAGGGTGGGTAGCAATCACGTTAGCAGAAATAAACCTTTAGAAAGCTTTCCATTATTGTATGAGGAAATGATTTTTATAGTATACATATATACATATATATCCACTAAAAAGTCAAAGATGTTTTTGAAATGTTATAAAATGTTTTAACATTTTTCCCTCTAATTTATTGTGTTCCTTGGCTGTATTATTTGCTAGTTTAGGTTGATTTCATAAGGTATATTTGAATTCAAGTTTTGAAAACATAATGCGGGTGGTGATTTGGGGATTGTTGCAGAATTTAAACTCTGCTATTTTTACTCAGATGATTTAAAATATGTACAAGTATACATAAAACAAAATTTTCTTGTTAATTTGCCAAGGCTGAGTAATATAAAATAACCTTATTTTACTTATTGCCTTATAAGAATATTATAAATAAATGTATGCTTTAAAATAACCTACTTGTCAGATACAATCCTTGTGTGCATGCGTGTGTGTGTGTGTGTGTGTGTAATTTCTGAAAATATAACATTCTTCAAACAATATAGGAATTGTCCAAAGTCTAGAAAGAAACCTGGGACATTATTAAAAATAAGATATTTTTTTACAAGTTTAAATTCCTCCTCTGGAGAAAAACTTTAAAAAAAAAAAACACTAATTCTAAGAAATAACTAGAAAAAGAATGGTGAAAATGATAGCAGAAAGACAGCCATTTAGGAATAAAACTACAGCGAAACAAAGCTACTTAACGTCTGATGCCGCACTATGTCAGATATCCGCAAATGCCCAAAGCCGTAAATTTCCAGAGCACTTTAAAGAGCAAATTAAGTGACGCCAGACTTTACCTTTGATGTTTGTAAAAAATTACATTTGCTCAAGTGTATTCCCATGCATTTCCATGTGATTCTCATAACTTTATCAAGGCAAATATATTTACTAAGTGTATTTCTCAGCATTGAAACTGAAATATTCTTTGTGATTGACGATGGGCTGAAACAATCTTTTTTTCTCTCACAGAAACGTGTGTCTGTTTTGTTCTGTTTGCGAACATTGTCCGTGTTTACATTTGTACCTCAGAGATAAGTACACTTTCTGTACTTAGAAGATTCTAAATACATGTTGAACCGAACTGAATTTTAAGTTTTTCTTATATCTCAGACTCATCCTGTTTTAAATAATAATTTATAATATCTAAACTGGATTCACTTTTATTCAGATATTTGAAATCTAATTGAAATAAAAGGTGATTAAAGCACATTTTTAGTAGAGAATAGATTTTCATATCTTTCTCAGTTAACAGCTATTTACTTTGAAACTTTGTATATTAATCAACAGTCATTAGTTAAAACAAAACCAAAAATAAAATTAACATTCAATTTGGGAAATGATAAGAAAGAAAGATTATAGAATATTGATTTAAAAGACTTAATTTATTACCTATATAAAAATTTAGAAATACATTCACATTGACTTTTCATAAACAGCATATATAGTTATATATATAGTATATATATATATATATACTATATATATGTAATTATGTATATAGTACATAGACACACACACACACACACACACACACGCTATCCGGAATAACTCATATTTAAAGTTGGAACTATGAAATCAGTTTTCTGACTTTCTATAACCATACTACTGAGATTCTATGTGGAAGATCTAATCCCCATACTGCTGACCTACGATGAATGTCAGTTTATAGCCAGCCATTCATTAAGTAAAGGAACAACCATCCTCACCAAAAAACACTTCTTTATGGTATTCTTATATCTTTTCTAAAGCTCAAACTACTTTGTATTAAAATTCATATTTCAAAAATCAATTTCTAATATTAATACAGTAGAAGTTGACTATTTGTTCTATGAAAAGCCATACTTCCCTGTTAGCTTCCTAATTGTCTTATTCATCTAACATCTTTTTTTTTTCCCCAAAGACTGAACCAAAAAGAAAGGAAATAAGGCTCAAAACAGTAAGACTAATCATCCTTAAAAATAAGAAAGAATTATTTGTGGGAGAATAATTTTATTCTTTGGTCAATGGGCCCTGTGGCCTTGTTTTTTGAATTATCTGTATGAATCAAGCTATCCTTTATAAGCAGAGATAAGCCATATTTGACCTTATTGTGACAAAGACACAAGGCCCTTATATTGCAGTAGAACAAAGAAAATAATCGTAAAATAATACAAGTCACAGACAAGAATCAATAATGGTAAAGTTTGTATTGTAAACAACACGAAGTCCCTGATCTGGATAATCTTACAAGTCTGTTTGTTAAGGTTAAAAAAGAAAAAAGAAAAACTCACATAGAGATATATAATTTGAATGTGTTTCTGGTGGTAATGGAGCAGTAACTTTTCTAAGCTTTAACAGGTCATAATTAATCAACCCCCAATCAATACACAGCATCCTAGCTATAGAACCATTACACTTACCCATGATGGTTAGGGCTGTAGCTTTTGTTAATTCTTCTTTCATTGACTCTATTACTTCTAAATTACCACCATCCAGGTTGCATCTATTTATGGTTCCATTTCCCGAACTGATCCAATAAAGCTTGTTTTCCACATAGTCTATCGATAGACCTGTAATTAAATTATACAACTTAAACATAACAGTAGCCACTTAAATAGTAATGTTCAACTACCACTATATTTGAGGGGGAAAAATAAGTTGCAAGCTTAGGTTCTTGCCTTTAAAAACAAGATCTGGCTAATAGGAAAAAATACTGTTATAACTATCTGTGGAACAATATACTTTTATAGGCACTTAAGTGTTATCTCTGTTGATTATCACAACAATCTATGACACTGAGAGCAATGACTGTCTCATTTCATGAATAAGAAAAATAATACCTAGAATTGTTAAGAAATCTATGAGTCCATAGCTAGCAAGTGGACCTTAGTTTAACAAAGTTTAACAAAGTTTTGATTTCCAAATTAACTGTCTGTCCTTCTCATTACACTGCTTTGCCTCAGAAAATTTTAATACATAATACTCTTTTGGGAAACTAATATCATTGATGAAATTTTTAATTCTGCCCTACTTTCAGTAAAACTCACTTTAGGCAGTTCAGCTATAGATTCACTTGTTGATTTCAGTGATTTTCAAGTAAATACAAAAGTAGAATTTCCAAAAAACTATAATGTCACTGAAGCATGGAATTGAGTTGGACTTATTTAGAATCTGTCGTGGGGCGATAAACCGACCATCTAGTAAGGGAACCAAGCCAAAGGCTTACGATCATTATTGCCACATCACAGCATATCACTGTGGATTAGCTTTATTGCATTTTATGGATAATTTCATATGTTATAGTGGTATTTGTGGTTTTCAAGGTCTCAGGATATGTATATTTTGATTGCTGAGGATTCTTGGTACATATCTACTTAATTACTGGCATGCTCAGTAGGCTCAGGGTTCATGCTGTAACAATAACTATGGTTCCATGTTGATCTTCTGTAACTCACAGTTATTTATGGAAAAGCACATGTGAACATATATTCAGGCATATGGTACAATAAATTGGTTCTGGAGTCTTCCTCAGAGAATGAAGGAAGGAAAACACACACACACCACACACACATACACACACACACACACAGAAAAAATCCCTTCCCTATTTTAAAAAAGAAACAAACAAAATACTAAGACAAATTAAAAAAAAAAAAAAAGGAAGGAAGGAAGGAGATACTTTAAGAGAATCACATGAGTTCCAGTGCATTGATAAAGAGTTAAATATAGTCCAAATAGTTCCAGATAAAGATAGTCCCAATCCAGGGAGTTGATTTATCAGATCAGTTTTAATCAAGTAGAAATAATACTACAAGTCTATGTAATATATCAGCTATTTATTGATTTATTAGTATATTTTACTAATAGAAGTCTGAAAGGTACAGAATAAACCTAATAAATATAAAATTAGACATTTCAGGGATAAAGTTTTCAGATTTTCTTTTTATGATTACTGTGGGAGATTGGCTTTAAATACTTAAGAAAATAATCAAATAAAAACTATCACATTCATATTCTTTGGTGTAGTATTTTCAGGTTGAAGGTCATCCATCATTCAATTTTTTATCAGAGAAAGTTCAGTTACTTTGTAGATATTACCTGAGTCACCTCCATGCATTTTTTTTTCTAGTTAAAATCCTGGTTTAGACAGCTTATTGTTCAGATGTGGTCTATTTTCCCTTCTACTTAGTTGGCTATCTAAATCACATAATTCTATCTTTAATCAACAATGAAGAATATCTTACTAGAGACTTACGTAACAAAATATACACCAAACATTTTGTAGTCAAATTTTCATCAAAAAGTGAATTAATACATTTACAAAGAATTCCTTCTAAGCAATTATCCCTCTAGATATTCCAAATTTTCTCTCTCAATCAAGCCAAACCACCAGAGAGCTATCTGCTTTTTAGATCGCTGAATTTTTGTCCCTCACTTAATATGTTGCTGAATTGAGCTCTGGCATTGTGCCCTTGATTTAAATGAGGGAAGCTATAAGAAGTAGCCATAGGGAAACCACTGCTACACTTCCCAGGATATAGTGTCTGAAATAATATATCACATAGTGACCTCTTTATACAAGGACTCATGGAAGAAATTTCTTTCAGGGCTCAGTGCCAGAAAAAGCTATAGTGGAAAATATAAAATTGTAACTGACCATATTTCTCTCTTTGCTTTGGCTGCAAAGAACCTAAAGAGTCATATTTGTGACCCATCTGCAGAAATTGTAAAGGAGTTGCATTTACACCACTAATTTCACTCCTGGCTTCAATAGACTAATCTATTATTTTTCTTCACCTTGATTTTTAAAATCAATATTCTTGTCCGGCCTTGCTTAAGGGATTAAATTTGTCTAAGTTTCCTCAAATGCCCCCTTTTTTCTAAGGAAAGGGTGCACTGATAGCAAATGTGCCCAACGCCAGATTAACCCACAGTGTCAGAACTTTCTTATCCACCTAACACTCTGTGATTTCTGGACTCTAACATAGGCTGTATAAAGCAGTCATTTTACAGAGCAGGGAAGTTACTGTGCTGGGGTCAGTGTTCCCAGAGTTTACTACTCAACATTTTTGTTCATGGACTCTGAGTGCCTAAAGAAAAGAAGTAGTATGGTAGTGAGCTTTGATCTTCAATACTGAGCACAATGCTTAAAGAAGAAAATTTATAAACACTGAATGAATGAATGAATTTATAAACACTGAAAATTATAAAATTTTATATATTTATATAAACAAAAGAAAATGTATAAACACTGAATGAATGAAATTTAATTAATTTCACTATTAAAATTGTAAGTTGTCTTCAAGGAGTTCTGTCTACTAAAGTTGAATTATCTCCACAACGGAATTTTTTAATGCATTACCTAAACCCACGTGCTATGACAACAGAGAAGAGGGCAATGATTCAATAGGTCTACTTGGCATGGCTTAGGTTTTTGCATCAATATTATGATGGAATAGTGTAGGATTGATCATTTTAAGATTCACAGGAAAAAATAATTAACTTCCTATATTAACCTACATATTCATGTGATCAGTCACCTAGATTGTATATCTTCTCTTCTGTTAAATGTATTAGCTTAATCTCTGAATGTTCTTGAGCATGTTTATTCCTGGGTTTATAAAACAGAATTGAAATATTTCTTTCATATTTTATTTATTTATTTGAGAGAAAGAGAACATGAGCGGGGGTGGGAGAGAAGGAGAAACAGACTTCCCACTGAGCAGAGAGTTCAATGTGGGGCTCCACCTCCAAAACCCTGAGATCATGACCAGGGCCAAAGGCAGATGCTTAACTGACAGAGCCACCCAAGTGCCCTGAATTGAAATATTTTTAAAATTCTATTATGAACTCAAGAAACTGGTGATAATATGTTTTAAATTCATAGATACATGCATGTTTAGAAGTACAGATTTTTAAAGTGTTTAATATAAATGTTTTCACAGCATAAGATTTTTTATTTTGTTATTCTCATACACTTAGGTCTTAATAACACTGAAGAATTAATTGGTGTCCATTTACTGCAATAATTTCTGAATCAAGTCTCTGTTGCACTATTTCAAAAGATAGGTCACTAAGCAGTAAACTGAGAGTATTTTGATGCACTTGAAACTACTCAATGATTTTAGAATGCTAAATCAATAGCCATGAGAAAACAAATCAAATATAAGCATGTTTATAAAAGTGTCCTAAACCTATGCAAAGAAATATGATTATGTTTGCACTAAAATGTCCTCAAATGGGTGAGGGTGACTGAGATTAAAACATCTTTAAAATGACTGTTGGATCTTTCTGCAGAATAGATCACTATTAATATAGACTTTTTTTATAAGACACATTTATTTTTAATATCATCTAGATTTGGTAATCAAAAGAGGAAAACTAGATTCAATAATATAACAGGTATATCAAAGGAAGAAAAGTCTTCATTTAAATTTAAAAACTTTGGGGGGAGGAGTCAAAATGGCGGAGAAGTAGCAGCTGAGACTGCTTCAGGTGGCGGGAGATCAGCTAGATAGCTTATCTAAAGATTGCAAACACCTACAAATCCAATGGGAGATCGAAGAGAAGAAGAACAGCAATTCTAGAAACAGAAAATCAACCACTTTCTGAAAGGTAGGACTGGCGGAGAAGTGAATCCAAAGGGACGGGAAGACAGACCCCGGGGGGAGGGGCCAGCTCCCGGCAAGCGGCGGAGCAACGGAGCACAAAATCGGGACTTTTAAAAGTCTGTTCCGCTGAGGGACATCGCTCCAGAGGCTTAACTGGGGTGAAGCCCACGCGGGGCCAGTGTGGCCTCAGGTCCCGCAGGGTCACAGAAGGATCGGGGTGTCTGAGTGTCGCGGAGCTCACAGGTATTAGAACAGGGAAGCCGGCTACAGAGACGGAGCCGAGGAGTGACTCTCAGCTCGGGGTTACCTTGAACCGCTCGCAGGCTCGGTGAGCTCGGAGCGCGGCCGGAGGCCAGGGTGACGGGAGTAAATGGACGCTGTTCCCTGAGGGCGCACTGAGGAGTGGGGCCCCGGGCTCTCGGCTCCTCCAGGCCGGAGACTGGGCGGCCGCCATCTTCCTTCCCGTCCTCCGGACTCTACGGAAAGCGCTCAGGGAACAAAAGCTCCCGAAAGCAAACCCGAGCGGATTACTCAGCCCGGCCCCTGGTAAGGGCGGTGCGACTCCGCCTGGGGCAAAGACACTTGCAAATCACTACAACAGGCCCCTCCCCCAGAAGATCAACAAGAAACCCAGCCAGGACCAAGTTCACTTACGAGGAGTGCGGTTTCACTACCAAGGAGAGCAGCGGAATTCCAGAGGAGGAGAAAGCAAAGCACGGAACTCATGGCTTTCTCCCCATGATTCTTTAGCCTTGCAGTTAATTTAATTTTTTTTTCTTTTTCAATTTTTTTCTCTTCTTCTGCTAAATTTTTTTAAACTTTTACCCTTTTCTTTTTTAACGTTTTTTAACTAGTTTATCCAATATATATATATTTTTTCCTTTTTATATTTTTTTCATTATTGGTTTTCTTTTTTTTATTTGTTTCTTTTTTCTTTTTTCTTTTATTTTTTTCTTTCT